ATGCGCACACAGCACGGTGATGGTGTGGGTTCTCAGTTACAAGCCTTTCAGTCCTAAAGCTCAAGAAAAGAAATCAGACTCTGTCTTAACTCACCCCCACATCATTACAAAGACCACTTCTTCTTTCCTGTGGCATCCAAACCCCGCTGTGAATTATAATTTTCCTTTTAAACTGTAGCTGTACTGCACTGAGAAAGTGAACATATGTCTGGGCCCCGCTAGTGCGAAGACTTGTCTAGTGCCTGGATCCAGTCGTGGGGTGAGGAGAGGCGAACGGACCTGTGTGCTCCTGGCAGGACAGCGGCTTCAGCGGTGTGTCTGGCTGGAGCCACGGTACATGTCTGCTCAGCTTTTACGGTTCTGCGTGCTTTAAAAAGGAGAGGTTCCCCCGAGGACATTGAGTAGTTCACAAAGTACAGAATCTAGATACATGGCTTTGCTGTAGTATTTGTTAAAGGGTAGTGATTTCAGTAGACAGTGGAGACTTACTTCTGGAAAAAATTTCTTTCTCATCTTAAGATACTCCCTGTCCATCTCACATTCTCATTGCAGACCGCTGCCCCATGGCATTCGACCAGAAACAGCTGAGGTTTGCTTGTTCACAAAGGATGAACCCAATTTATCGGCAGAACAGACTGAAAATCTCTACAGAAAACTTTTAATCCAGAATGGGATCAGAAGCGTTAGCCAGGTAAGAGAGATTCATGATGGGATAGTACAGAACTGTCACTGCTCTCCTCTTGTACCAACTAAAAGGGAAAGCAGTTGTTGTTTCCTGCTATTTAATATTCTGACCTCAATGATTCTGTGTTAATGATCGCTAGTCAGATTTTTCTGACTATTCAAACTGTAGTTTTTCTAAACTTCAAAATTTACTCTGAATAATTTCTTCAGTTTGAAACAGGATCTTTCGCAGTCAGATGTAATCGCTAGATCAATGCTCAGTATTCAGGTTGACTAAGCAACTGGAAAAACGCACGATGTAAAGTAATATTTAAGTTTTTTGCAGCTGGATTGGATTGTTTACTAGCAGTAAAACTAGAAAATACTTTTTATTGTTGTATTTAACCTCTCTTTAGATTTAACCAGGTATTCAAGTTCTGTTTGGTGATTCACAGTTACTGTGCAACAGATCCAACTGTTTGATTCTTAAAACAAAAAATACTGTGATTGTCTTCAGTGTTCTAAAATAATGCACCATGATAGACTATCAGTTATGTAAGTTAATTCTGTGCAGTTCTAAGTATTCTGGGCTGCATTTTCAGAGGTGGGGACTAAACTGTTACTTGCATTGCAGATCATCTCATACAAAACTCTCAAAAAAGAGTACAAACTGTTTGAAGCAAAGCGCCGCCTCCTGAACAGATTTGATCTCTTTCTGTCTGATGACCGAATTAGAAGGCTCTTGCCCTCACATCTAGGAAAACACTTCTATGAAAGAAAAAAGTAGGTCTTTAAATTCTATATATCCATTTTACATTATCTTTTTTAAGATTAGATTCTTCTTAGTAAAGTTTTGCTTGCTGGGGTTTTGGTGGGGGGGCTGGTTGGGGTTTGTTTTGTGTGGGTTTTTTTTTTGGAGGGGGGGAGTGGTTTGGTTTGTTGTTTTGGTTTGGTTTTTTTAATTCCTCCTCTTCCTTTTTTAGGGTACCTTTATCTGTAAACCTGAAAGCCAGAAATCTTGGGAAGGAACTACAAAAACATATCCAAGGGACTACACTCCCAGTTACCAACAAAGGGTGCTGTTAGTAAGTAAAAGTGGATTAATACTTCACTCAAAGGATGGTTGTACCGTAACTGTAGGAATTTTAATGGCATTATTTTATTCCATTAATATGTGAATAAAAGAGGTTAAGGATCACCATTCCAGACATGGGCTGTTTTGAACCTTATCCTGTATAAAGAAATCAGTAATTCTACTTAATAAGTTTTACTTTTTGTCTCTTTTTCCTTATACCTAAGGAATTTCTAGGCAACTGTTGCTGTCAAACAGCAAATACAATCTCAGAAAAATATTTCTGATAAGTTAGATAAAAACTACTTACAAAATATCGTATTCTTGTAAGATGCCTTTCATTTATTGTGCATCTAAAGTGATCTAAATTGGTAATATGCGTAGTAATATAAGGCAGAATTTGCATATCCAAATACAGAAAGGTTAATACAGGTAAATCTATTACTACAAAGATTTTTTTTTATTATTATTATTATTTCTGGATATGCCTAAGAACAAGTAACTTCAAGTATGTTTATTTGACCACAAATAAATACTGTTTTTCACTTCTTTCAGTACAGCACGTATAGGTCACACTGGAATGAAAGCTGATGAGATAGTAGATAATATCATTGCAGCAGCTGAGGTGATTGCTAAGAAGTTGCCAAAGGTACTGCTGATTGACTGTATTAAAGCCAAGTCAGTTCATAATTCAGCCTTGTTATTTTTACATAATAAACTGGGTTTTTTGTTGCAGAATTGGAAAAATGTAAAAATTCTTCACCTCAAAACACTTAAATCAGTTGCACTTCCAATTTTTACTGCAAATATCTCCAACTTGGATGAGCTTGACAGACAGCCATCTCTCAAAAAAAAAGAAGTAAAGGTAAAAAAAAATTCTTCAAACTTTCCATAAAACCTATTGGAATGACTAGCTCTTTGGCTTCCTTTTATGCATTATAGTGTCTGATGTGTTGGATTTACACATTTCGGCAGTTGAGGCTACAAATAGGTTAGGTGTTCCTGACACTGGGCACTTCAAGTACTGACAGAGTCATGGAAACACCCAAATAGGTTGTAAAGCAAATTGGAAATAAGTAACTTCAGCATTTCTTGTCCTAAAGTGTAGGGAGTTTAAATTTATTGATAGAACTTTTGCTTGTATGGTTTATTCACATTGGCCTTCTGAAAATACACTCATTAGCATCCACATGGATTAAGACTGTGCCTTCATTATTTGTTGGCTAATCAGTGGCATCTGAATAATTCACAAGCTCATATATTTGTATATATACGGGGGGCGGAGGTCACCTACTTTAAAAAAAAAATCAGCTATTCCTTTGTATTGAGTTCTGCTTATTATGTTATTTTATCTAAGATAAATTTGGAGCATATATATTGAACTTAAAGACTAATCTTGACATTATTATCATTTACTTATGAGCTGTTTATAATAAACTTCTGAAGGTAATACCTTTTTTATATTTTACATATGGTTGACCAGTCCAGTTCTATTGAACAATATTTAAATTAATGTTGCTAGACCATCTTATTTTTAACCATATTAAAACAATGACTGTACATTTACTAATGTTATGGGGATTTGTCTGAGGTGTACTTCCAATTAATTCTAGAAGGGAAAGAACAAGAAACCGAAGAATGCAGCTAAAAAACTGAATTCAAGTCAAGTCACTTTGACAGCTGAAAGTAATGCTGCTGCTCCTGGTACCCAGGAGCTTACCATAAAAGAAAAGGAAGAAGTAGTCCAAGAAGAAGGTGATGATGATGAAGAAATTCCACAACTGGTGCCTGTGCAAACAACTATCTTAGATGAACTAAAGGTAATTGTTTAATAATGAGAAATTAACATTTCAGTTAAAACTAAAGATTTTGAACTGTTTAAGTCGTTCATTGCTCCTTAGGGAACAATGTGTGTTAACGCAGTTCAAGTGACCTGGAATTTTTGAGAATATATCATGACAGCAAGAGTTGAGTGTATGCGGGGGGGATGCCTTGGGGAGGTGTTTTGGGGTTTTTAGTTTTTTGAGGTTTTAAAAATTTTTTTAGTTAATCCGTCTTACAGTCAAAGGAAGCCAGTGGTTATTGTCCTTTTTTTTCTGAATAGCAGCAATTTTTTCTAGGTCAAATAACAAGCCTGAAGTCAGAAGAAAGGGTAAATGACTGAGAAACAGCTTAATACTTAATCAAGTAAATAATAATAATTTTTTTTAAATTCAAAATTTCTTGTAAAACTAAATATTAATTTATTGTAATGTATCATCTTCTGCCTGGAGTGTAAAACTTGAGGAAAAACAAATAACATTCTCTAGGATAGTAATATGCAACATTAACAATCACATAATATAAATTAAGAGCTAGCAGCTTGCATGAAATACTGTCCAGACTTATTGTTGCCAGCATTGGAGAACATGTGGATCATGTCATTAACACATCTGCAGAACAACCAGAGTGATAATACTCATGTTTAACAAATACCTAGGAAGGGTATTTGGATGAATAAAACAATAACAATTATAAATTCAACTTAGTTATACTGCATTCATGATGGGAGCATATCCTTCAACTCTAACAATGTTCCATTTCAGGGATTCCCAAACTATCACTATGTGCAGGCCCACCAAAAACATTCATACAGCTTGTTTCAAGCTGCTGTCATGCAACGTGTCTAGATTAATCCATGTGATGTGGTTGCCAGAGACCCAGGATAGATACAGCTAGAGTTGGGTTGTATGAATTGTTCTGATGACAGCAGCCATGCCCTTTGGGCATGTGTGATAAACTCTAGGGAGTACTAGGCCTAGTGCAGTCACTGTGTCTGTGTACAGCTGGACTTCAAACAGAGCTGATCTCTCCTCAATCTATTAAGCCTGGAAATGTGGCAACAAGAGGACTGTGGTCTAAAGCTCTGCAAGCAGACATCAGTGACTTGCCTGGCCAAGAGAGTCCTTGCATCTGTTAAATCTATTTACTTTCTTACTATTTTGTTATTTTTTCATTATTGTCTGGATTTAGTTTTGTGGATTAAAGTCTGCTTCCAGACTGAAATGCGAACAGATTGTTTGGGCTAGAGCATAGTTCAGTTAGAAAGCATTTGTCATTTATAATGGTTTTCATTGATACTTATTCTTGAAATATAGGAACAATGTTTTTTTAACTGGAAGAGTAATTTTTTTTGTGTGTGTGTCTTAAATACAGAAAATGGAACCAAGTCCAGGAAAAGGTGACAACCTGGGCAAAAAACGTAAAACACCTCTCGGTAAGAGAAAGAAACAACCTCTAGCTCTGAAGACTCCAAAAGCAAAACATAAAGTTACAGAAGAGTGTGCAGAGTTGCAGACATCACCAAAACAGAAAAAAACCAAGCAGCTCAGCATGCCATCAGAAGCAATAAAAGAGAAGGAGATGAAAAAAACTCCCAAAAAGCCTGAAGCAAAGTCTTTTGCAACACCAAAAGCTGGCAAATCAATACAGTCAGCCAAGAAGTCTTCAAAAATGCCAAAGCAGACACCCAAGAAAGTGCACAGACTGCAGTCAGCGTGAATGTTGTCTGTTTTAACATATTTTATATACTCATCCAGTGGTCTTTCTAGTAAACAAATATATTGATGAAGTAAAATGCCTTCTAAGAAAATCTGATCCCAGGAGCTTTTTTCACTGAGACCTGTAATGATTCATGTATTTCCTCTCTAACATAACAAGCTGGAACAAATAAACTCATGCTCTTAATTGGCTTTATTTATTACCTTTTATCTTTTCCTGGCCCAAACTAAAAGCAATTCTTTAAGTGTCAAAGGGCAAGGAGCAGACTATTCCAGAAAAAAACGCTGAGAAGTATTGCGTAAGTAACATCTTCCTGAAGCACAACTCGGTACTGGAACAGACAAGTGCTGAAGCCAGAAGCATGCATACCAAGAGCAGCAATGTATTTAACGTGATTTAAAATGTTAAATAGATGCTACTATTTTTTCTGAAATTGTTCAATATAATGAATATAGGGTGACAATTTATTCCAGATAACTAAGTTAGCAGCCTGATAACAAGCCAGACTTAATGTATATTTTAGCTATTCTTACCTAAAGTATTTGTGATGTGTTTGGTTTTTTTGTTTGTTTTTAAGCAGTATGGACAATTTTACTTTTATCATTGTATGCTTTGACCATTTATAATTTATGACATCAAGCAAAATCTCCTTACCTTCACTTTTAGGCCTTATTTCTGCTACCAGAACAATTGTGGGTATTCCTGCATGCTGGTTGCAACACCATTGTTTCTTTCATCTGAAAAACACCAAAGCCTGTATGAATTTGGGGCGTGCCAACTAAGTGAAGTAGTCCTGCAAAGGTATGAAAAAGATACACTGCAGCACTGGAAGGTTATGTATTTAAAATTTTACAGAATAACCTAATTGTTGCTCTCAGTATGATCACTTCCTTCTCAGAGTGAGAATACAAAGCAGATTCGGGATGAAAATTATTTCTCAACAATATTTTACTCGAATCCAAATAAGAAAGGTTATAGAGGCAAGGAGATGTAATGAACAGTATGTAACCCGCCTAATTTGCAGAGTTCAAAAAAACCACTCTCATCTCCTATTTAGGACATCCCATAGCAATAGATTTGCTACCTAGAAAGTAGTTAGATGCTAAATAAAAAGTGGTAAAAGAAACACGAAAGAGTATGAAAAGACTCTGCTTGATCCATAGTGTCAACTTTCTGTAACCCATGGCCTCTTGTCATTTAACGGGAACATTTTTAAATCAAGAAACAAATCTTGGCCAAAAAAGCACATCTGTCTCAAAGATCCCTGTTAGATCCATGTTAACAAAAAAGATCTGATCTTGTCCAAAAATAATCCTATCACTTTCTAGTCTGGGCTGCAAAGTAGTATTTCACTTCCGTAATAGCAAAGTAAGAGAGTTGATACCAAACCTGCCTCCTTTCTGGGAATGTGGGGTTTTTATCAAATCACGCTAAAGTGTTTAGCATGCGGCCTCCTCTTGCAAGTGTGAAAGTCTACAACAGGTACGGTCATCTGAAGACCACCTTTTTTGGAGTGCCTCCCTTCGAGGGTGTCTGAGCAAACTATGGCAAAGACCTTCCCCCTGTCACAAGGTGATACTGCCTCAACTGGAAACAGTTAAGTGGGTCCAGCTGCGTCCATCTCACACTCACCTGCACAAGGAAATGGCAGCACCATCGTGTGCAAGGGAGGCCTCAACTTCAAAACACTGACAGTCCTACAGACCAATCTTCAACACCCGCTCCCTCTGCGTCCCTGTCGCTGCTCTGCGCTGCTCCTGCTTGTCACTCTTACGAAGTGGAGCAAGGCCT